TATATGTCTAAAAGACACTAAGATATTAAGAACAACTTAATGCCAATAAATGTAAAATGTTTAGATGAAATGGAAAAATTCCTAGAAATAATAATTTACAAAGTGACTCATGAAGAAATGGAAAATTTGAATAGTCCCGTAACTATTAAGGAAATTGAAACAGTAATTAAAAATCTTCTCACAAAGAAAATTCCAAACCCAGATTGCTTTATCTGTGAATCATATTGAGCATTCAAGAAAAAAATAATTTTATTTATACTCAAACTCTTCTAGAAATTTGGAAGTTTCTACTCCCAAAGAACAAAAATTATCCTCCTCAAACCATTATATGTAGCTAACATGACCCTGATCCCCAAATCTGACAAGGTCAATATGGGAAAATTAAAGGCCAATCTCACTTATGAACATAGATATAAAATCCCTAAACAAGGTATTATTAAACAAAATTTAGCAACATCTAAAAAGGTTAGTACATATGACCACCAAGTTATATTTAACCTTAATGCAAGGTTTAGTTAGCATTCAAAAACCAGTTAATGTAATTTATCACATTAAGAGATTAAAAGAGTGGGCCGGCCTGGTGGCGCACTGCTACAGTGTGCCGCTTGGGAGCGCGGCGGCGCTCCCGCCAAAGGTTCGGATCCCACATACAGACCGGTTCCCGCTCACTGGCTGAGCGAGGTGCGGGCGCGACACCGAGGGTTGCGATCCCGTTGCCGGTCCTGGTCCAGTACGGGCGCGACACTGAGGGTTGCGATCCGTTGCCGGACACGAAAAAAGACCAAAAAAAAAAAAGAATAAAAAAAAAAAAAGAGATTAAAAGAGAAAAATCATATAGTTATCTCGAAGGATGCAGAAGAAGCTTTTCATGAAATTCAACATTGGTTTTATTAAATGGATGAATAATTTCTTTTAAAAAAAGATTTGCCTGGGCCGGCCCGTGGCTCACTCAGTAGAGTGCAGTGCTGATAACACCAAGGCCCCGGGTTCGGATCCCATATAGGGATGGCCGGTTCGCTCACTGGCTGAGCGTGGTGCTGACAACACCAAGTCAAGGGTTAAGATCCCCTTACCGGTCATCTTTAAAAAAAAAAAAAAAAAACTCAATATACAAAAATCAATATATTTAACAGCGATAAAGAGAAAATTATATCTTAAAAGGATAGCATTTATAATATCATTTAAAAATACCAAATAACTAGGAATAAATTTAATGAAAGTTGAATAAGTCTCCAATGTAGAAAAATATTAAGTATTATTGACAGAAATTAGAAAAGATCTTAGTAAATGGAGAAATATGTGGTGTTCATGGATTGGAAAACTCAGTATTACATAGATTGCCAGTTCTTCCCAAAGTGATCTGTGGGTTCGATGCAATTTCTAATAAAAATCCATCTGGATTTTTTTATGGAATTTGAAAAGATGACACTTAAATTTATATGAACATAATAGTCCAAGAATAGCCAAGTCACTGTAGATGAAGAATGAGGTTAGAGGAATTACTCTACCAGATTACTATAAAGCTATTGTAATTAAGAGAGTGTGGCATTGATTTGGGAATAGACAATTAGTCAAATGGAATAGAGATGAGTTTACAGAAACAGACTCCCACACACATAAACACTTGGTTTGTGACAGAAATGGCACTGTATAGTAATGACAAAAAGATAGACTCTCAATAAACTTTGCTGGGATAATTGGGTAGCCTTATGTAAAAATAATTAAATCAAACCCCTACCTCACACCATACACCAAAATCAACTCCAGTGTCATATGGACCTATATAGAAAAGGCAAAATGGGGCTGGCCAGTTAGCTCAGTTGTGTTACATAACAAGTTCAAGGGTTCAGATCCCCTTACTGGTCAGCTGCCACAATAAATAAATAAACAAACAAAAATTTTTAAAGGAAAAATTTTAAAGTTTTTTGGGTAATAAATAAACAAACAAAAATTTTTAAAGGAAAAATTTTAAAGTTTTTTGGTTTTTTTGTTTGTTTGTTTTTTTAAAAGATGACTGGTAAGGGGATCTTAACCCTTGACTTGGTGTTGTCAGCACCACGCTCTCCCAAGTGAGCTAACCGGCCATCCCTATATAGGGATCCGAACCTGTGGCCTTGGTGTTATCACCACCACACTCTCCCAAGTGAGCCACGGGCCGGCCCCTAAAATTGTAAAGTTTTAAAATAATAGTGTAGAAGAATATTTTCATAATCTTGAGTAAGGAAGGTTTTCTTAAACAAGGTACAAAAAGCAATATCACAAAGGAAAGATGCATACAATTAAGAATATTTGTTCATCAAGACATCAGAGAGTGTGAAGGTAAGCTGCAGAGCAGCAGAAGGTAATGCAACAGATAAAATTGACAAAGGATTTGTCAATATATACAAAACATATAAATTTATAATAAAAGACAGACAATCCAATAGAAAAATGGGCAAAAGATAGAAATTTTGCAGAAAAAATCAAAAAACCAATAACATGAAAAAGTGATCAACTTCTTTGGTAATCAGGGAAAGGAAAATTAAAGCCACAATGACCTACCACTGCACACTTACCAAATTGATTAGAACTTAAAAGTCCGACAATAACAAGCATTAGCAAAAACACTCATACATAAAAATTTACACAAACCTGTCAACCACCTTGGAAAGCACTTCCGCATTATCTAATTAAGTTGAAAATAACATACTCTATGCCCCAGCAATTCTACTCCTAGGTAAATATCCTACAGAAAAGTGTGCTTGTGTGTGTCAGGAAACAGGGACAAAAATGTTTATAGAGGGCCGGCCCGGTGGCGCACTGGATAAGTGCACCGCTTGGGAAGCGCGGCGGCGCTCCCGTCCGAGGGTTCGGATCCCACATACAGACCGGTTCCCGCTCACTGGCTGAGCGAGGCACGGGAGCGGCACCGAGGGTTGCGATCCCGTTGCCGGTCCCCAGTCCGGTACAGGGGCAACACTGAGGGTTGCGATCCGTTGCCGGACACAGAAAAAGACAAAAAGACAAAAAAAAAAAAAAAATGTTTATAGAAACATTGTTTGTAGTCCTGTCATAGGTCAGATTTCCAGGAAACATGCTGAGATAAAGATTTGGGTGCAAGATCTTTTTTTTTTTTTTTTTTTTTTTTTTTAAA